AACCTGCTCGGGCTGCTCACAGGGGCTTCGCGCCCGCCCCGGCTGCGCCCCGGGACACAAAGAGGACGGGGCCAGCGCAGCCCCGCCGGCATCCCCAGCCAGGGAAGGGGGGACACGCAAACCAGCCCCCTCCTCGCTTGTTTTAAACATGTGGCGAGCTGCTGCAGAGAGAGCGAGAGAGAAAGAGGCCCACGGACAGGGGTAGCAGATCCGAGGGCTGCGAGAAATACAGGGAGGCGGGGAGAAAATAAAATCTTCAAAACAAGAGGCTGTTCCTTACCTGAAGGGGAGATGCAGAGAAAGACAGGGAGGATTTGGAAAAGTCCCAGGGCTGTGGATCCTGCCCCTCTCCCCATACCCATCCATCCAGCTCGAGCTTTAACCACTATCCTCTCCCTGGAAGAAGAGTTTAAAAAAAAAAAGAAAGAAAAAAAAAAGGAGAAGGGAAGAGAGGAAGAGAGAAAACAAAAGAAAAAAATAAATCAATTGAAAGGAAGAAGGAAAAAAAACCTCAGAAGCCGCGCGTGGCTGCGCGGAGCGCCGCGCTGCGCAGGGCAGGGACAGGCGGCCCCGGCTGCCAGGCCCGGTGGCCTCTGCACTGCCGGATTACACGGACGTCTCCTCCTCCTCCTCCTCGCCTTCCCCTCCCATTGCAAAACAGCCCCAACCATCAATCATCCCGGCCGCCTTCCAATGCCGACGTGCTCCGCGGGCGCCTCCTCCTCCTCGCGGCTCCCTCACACACGCCGCTCGCACCGCCCCCCCGGGGCCGGTGCAGGCAGGACCCCCGTGGGAAGAGGGGACCCGCGTGGGAAGAGGGAGCCCCCGTGGGAAGAGGGGACTCCCGTGGGAAGGAAGGGGCGATCCCCGTGGAAAGGGGCGATCCCCGTGGGAAGAGGGGACCGCGGCTCTCGCTGCGCTCGCTCGGCACGGCGGGGTCCCTCCTCAGCGGTGGGAGCTCAGGGTGGGATCTAACGGGCTTGTCTCCCCCCGTGGGGCGAAGGGATCACGGCCTCTCCACCAGCCGGGGGCACTGGGGCAGGAGGACTTCGGAGAGCTGGGGCAGGAGCTCCTGGCACCGGGCCCGGGCTCTGCCTGCCGCCTCCTGCGGCGACGAGCTCCCTGCTCCATGCAGGCTGCGCGCGTTTCCCAACCCACTCCAGGTCATTCCCGCACACCTGCGCTGGCAGCCCTGGAATAAGCCCGAATGACTCAGAGGCAGCAGCTCCCATAGACAGGAATCACTAGACCTACAGACAGGAACGACTGGAGACCACTGAATCCAGCTGCTTGCCCGCTGAAGGACCAGCAGCACCTAGGGCTCTTTAAAACGTCCCTTAAAGGAGGATTTAGTCACCATGAACTAAGACAACTTCATTTTCAAGTGCCCATGGGTATAATATGCTTTAATTAATGTGCTTTAACTTCCCTGTTTTAGATCATTAGCCCTCCTTTGATTCAGGGCCCCCCTGCCATCCTGATGTTTCATCTCCTCCCTCTTGGGGATCTTATATAGAGAATGAAAAAGATGCCTTTTTTTTTTTTTTTTATCCCAGCCGTTCTCCCAGCTCTGTAATTGCTCTTTAGCAAAGGGTCTTTTCTCCTACATCTTAGGAGATGTTCCTTGACTTGGCCTCCAGTTGCCCTTGGAAATTCTCGGTTCTTCCCCCTCACTAACACCCTGATGGATATTTTTTGAAGGGATGCTAACTTAAAGTCTCCAAGAAGCTACTGTGATCTCCTCCTTGTGATGGATTGACTCTGTGATCCAGCTACAACAGACTCCTCGTGGAGGATGAGGTAAGGAAGATGAGATGGGCATGAATATCTGAGAGGGTATCTCAGGTCTGGTATCACTGCTCTGGTTCTCCTTGTGGGGTTTGAGCCCCCTTTGCCTCCAAATGGCAGCGCACCAGGGTTTTGTCCAGGCTGGAATTAAAATGAAGCTTTTCCACATGGGATCCATATGGGATGCAAAGTATTTGGAGCCTTGTCTGCTTGACGGGCGCTGTGTCTCGGTGCCGATCCCCCTGCAGTCAGAGGATGTCCAGTAAAGCCAGTCTTGCTGCGGCAGAGCTGCCAGCCGGGGCAGAGCCGGGCGGGAGATGAAAGCTGCCAGGCGGGATCCAGACCTGCAGCGAGGGCCGCGTGGGAGGAACGCCTACCCCGAGCTCCTCTTCGTGGGGGATGTCAAACAGGGGCAAGAATGTCCAACCCTGCCAGCTGTGCTACCACCCAAGAAGAGCTCCTCGCTCATGGGACGTGTGGGCAGAGCTGGAAGGAGCCTGGCGGGGAGGGAGCGGACCAGGAGCTGGGAAGAGTCTTGGGGGCAGGGGAAAGGGCTTGTAGCCCCCCGAACCCTCCTCTTGCTCTCACCTTTCTGCAGCGTGAGCTTTGCTTTCACTTCAGAGACAAATATCTCACTTGGGCTGTTTCCTGGGTTGATGACATGCAGCATGATCTGTTTATTTTTTAACTCGCTTAACGGTGGAATTACTAACTTTTAAAAGGCAGGTGCTAAATAGCTGCTCTAAGGCTGGTTTGATTGCTCAACCTAAAGCTCCACTTGGGCATTGCTGTGTGGTGGTAAACTTGCACATTCCGATGTGAGACTGGAATCCAGTTAAAGATTCTTTTTTATTATTATTTTCTTTCCCCTGGAAAAAAAAAAAAAAGACCCTTGGGAAGCTTCTGCCTTTGCTTTAGGGAAATCTGTGCTGCCATAAGGCAACAATCTGATGACACTGGCTCTAGTTCGTAAAAATTTCTCCTCAGTTTTGCTCCCTTGCATCATGCATTGCAAATGGGGCTGCTGTTCTTGGCACTGATCGAAGCAGAGGATTTTGCTGGAGAAAACAACAGATGTGTCCAAACTGTAACGGCGGAGCAGGAAAAGGCCCCAAATAAGGTGTGTTTCTGAAACCCTGCTCCCCATTCCACATTTTACAAATCACCTTCGCTTTTCTGTGAATTAGCTGAATCGAAGACCTGGAGTATCGAATCACCCCAGACTTCAGGATCTCTGCTTGGCCTGTGGGAGATGTCCAGGCTGTGAAATGTGGAATGAAGTGAAGTGGTGGCTGCTTTTCCCCTCATTTTTTCCCTTCTTTTAGGCAGTACCTTTCAGCACGAAGGAGCCTGAGGCTCTTTGCAAGCAGCCCTGCAAAAGCACCCGCCACCCCGTGCAGACACCTCGGCGGGGACGCGCAGGGGCAAAGGCACCGCCGCCATCCGCTGCACATTGATCCTCCTCTTGGAAGTCCTTACGGAAGGGCCCTGGGCTCCTGGGTTTCCAGGCGCCCAATAAGCAGAAATCGGGTAGTGTTCACCGATGCGATTCTCCAAGGTATTTGCGGGATGAGCAGAAAGGGCACAGTTCCCGGAGGAAATTCAACAGGGAGCAGTTGTCTGAACTTTACTTTTCTGAATATTTGCCAGCACCCGGTGTCACATCGTGCATGGCTGTGGGCTTCAGTGAGGCCAGTGAATGTGTCTAATTTGAACCGTACTGTTTAGAGATGATACCTTCCCTTACAGCCTCCCTAATGGAATTTATTCAGTACCTATAATTATAAGGCTAAAATAGTAAATACAGGTATTTATGAGGGCTGTAACTAGCAGTTAGAGGAACTCCAAGGTCTACTCCTGACTCTCCCATGAACTTTCTGCCTGGCGACTCTTCATGCAGCTACCTCCACACATCTCGAGAAAGCAACTTTGCCTTCTCTGCCTCAGTGTCCCCACAGTAAAAAGAATGAGGCAGCGCCCATCTGCCATGCAGCGGGGTAGGGAATTTAGTTAAGACATGTTTGCAAAGCCCTGTATGATATTTAGAAACGTTTATGAGGGCAAAACTGCCTTCCCGCATAAGGCATGGCCAAGAGCACCTTGGCTTTTCTGGATGGAGGATCAGCCTTGAAGAGCAACTCTGGAGTGAATGCAGCAATCAATGCACAGTGCTGCTTCAGCTCATAAAATGCCATTTAACATGGGACTGCTGTTGTTACTGATGGAGCTTGAAAATATAATCACCGTTCCACGGACACCAAAAGATGCCTGTGAAACCCAGAGTTTAGGTGTTGGTGCAAAACCAGTTAAGGTGAGAGAGGCTGTGTCTACCACCTGTCCTGATTCACTTTGCGCTATAGAGTTTCCACCAGTGAATAATCTTGGTGCCTGTTTTTAATATTCTGAATACTAGAAGTCAGAAAAAAAGTAGTCTGCTTGCTGAGCCTAGTTCAAAACTGGTTAGAAAACACCAAGCAGCACACTGGATCTCAGATTAGCAGATATTTGCTCCTTGTTGTTGACATTGCTCATTCTGCTGTTTTGCTTAGCTGTTGTGTCCAGCTATAAATCTGATGAGCGATCACCGCTGTATGTCCAAGCAAAGCCTAACAAAAGCAGGTCCTGCCAAAGCTGTCCTGCTAAAACGAAGAACTGATTTTAGCAGTGGTCATCTGTATTTGATGTTCCTCAGGAAGGAGAGTTTAGATGAACCAGCCCGGCCAGATTAATGGTGATTACCAGTGCAGGAGGATAATCTTGAAATGTGCTGCAATGATTTATATTAGTGTTTGGTTTAAACAGGAAAAAGCAGACCACTCCTTAAAAAAGGAAGAAAGGAAAAACACTTGCTGTTTGGAGTAGAAAACTCTAGATTATTCTCACGGGAGGTCTGACAAGGGATTCCAAAATGCTCATGGAAGAAAACACCTGTGATCTGACAGATTCCTGTATTAAAGAAAAAACTTCTTAAAAAGGAGAAAAAAATCACTCATCTTTCTGCAGTAACAGCCGCACCTCACGTCCATGATGGTGGAAAACATTGTAGCTCATTTTAAAGACCTTCCTTTTACTCATCATTGAATTGTCTACTATTTTGCAGTTTTCCCTGCTGATAGCACGAGCAGAAACTCTCCCGTAGCTGTCAGATACCAGCTTTATGCTCCTGCATGCTGTTGTGTGCCTTAAAGTTACTCAGTAAGTGTCTAAAAAAGCTTCCCTACCAGCCTGTCTTCTTCCACAGCACAGCCTGGATAGAGAAAGTGTCTGTTAGGGTCCTCTTTAGTGCGCTAGGTAAGGTTTGCAGTAACCTAACAGGGCAGGGGAGGTGAGGACATGGAGTGGCTTTGGAGGCAGAGCCACTGCTGTGCAGCAAAGTGCGGGGAAGCTGGCCCAGTGCTGCACGAAAGGAACTTGCCCACAGCTGCTTCTGTGAACATTAGACTTGCCAACCTGGCTATTTGAAGAGAGGCCATTGCGTCGAAGGGATAATAAAATACGGCTTTGTAACAGCAATAAAAAAAAAAAAAAGAAGAAGAAAAAGCTTTCTTGGCCTGTAACTTTCCCTCCGCGGAGAGTGATTGATAAAAGCTTTCCCAAATGAAGCCGCTGTTGGCAGCTCTGCTTTGGGTTCTCTCTTTA